TACTATGCTTCCGCTGCGCCACTCTGATATCAAATCACAACTACACATAACAGCAGGACACTAGCTACTTAACAGGGTTTACCATGAAATGAGCTACTAGAGGCTGGGGTGATATGGGAAGCACAACGAATAAAAATAAATCCTGGCAAGGCCACAAAAGAACAATTGTGGGGTTACGCTTTGAACCCATCACAAGACGAGTTGACAAAGAATGGCATGGATTGAAATATGAGTACAACAAATTTTTGAACTCTTTCAAAGACAAATAAGCATCCAATGGATATATGGATCATGAATGAATGAACGAGTGCATGGATGCCTTATACATTATGCCACAAAACAAGGTTTACCAATAAGCAAGGTTATGTCTAACAAGGCAACTGGAATCAAGAGACAGATTTTAGCAATTAACAAGAGTTAAAAGCTAGACCCATCAAAAGACGTATAAGAATCTCAAGAACTGCAACAGAATAAAATCAATGAAAAATATGAATGCTTGGAAGAATACTGGAACACAAGAGTGCAAGGTAGAATGCCTCAAAATTCAACAACAAAATGGCATTCACCAAGAATCAATATCAAATTTAACCAAGCAGTCAAAATTGAGAGACAAGAGTTAACCATGAAATAAGCAATAGAATTCAAGAATTAGACCCACAAAAGAAATTCCAATAATGACAATCAGAACATGGATTCAAGAGCAGATATAACCACGATGTCAAGATCTAGTACCTCAAGTACTAGAATTAATTAACAGAACAAAGCAATGGCTGGGATCAAGATGCTTAGAAGATTCATGTCTTCTAAATAAAAGGGCAAATAAAAATCAAAACAACCAGACAAAAGAACCATTTCTCTTGGAACAAAACTCTAGGCCATCAAGTATTTCAAAGATTACCCCTTCACCTCGTAGCTCATGGAGGCTAAGCAGATTTACAATCAAGTCATCCTAGACATCCTAAAGCCAAGTCAAAGCTAAAAGAATACAGAATTTAACACTTGCAAGAGACAAGAATGAGGATGCCTCATATAGATATTTTCTGATAATCGTCACCCCTCCTAAAGAGGTCTCCATATGAACAAAATCAAAAATCAAGAAGATCATCAAGTATACTGACACAAGAACGAACATAATATGCAGGATTTCAACAAGAGCAGTATACAGAATTTGAACAAGAGCAAGAGTCAGAACAAGAATGTTTTCAAGGTCAACTCAAAATAGATTCCAAGAACAATACAAGAATCAATTTTAGATAAGTATCACGATAATGAGGATCTCAATAATCATTATCCATTTTTGGATTTCAGTTTCAAGAACAAGTACAAAGCAATCTCAAGAAAGATTCAAGACGGATTTCAAGAGTTTCAAGCAGTTCCAGGTATCAAGAATGTAGAGACTGGCAACAATAGAGAGTTATGACAACTTGCCAATCTTCACAAAAATAAGGCAATTACAGTGGAATGATCACTGCTCTTGATTAACCAATATAGAAAAATGAGCCACATGAAAAGACCATGAAGCTCCAAATGGAAAAAGTGAAACTTCACTACAAGACTTACAAAAAATAAGGAACAGCGAAATTATCAAGTTATCCAGCTCCTAAAACACACCTAAAAAACACACAACATTTGCTAAAATAGCCTTGAATCTCTTACAAACTCGAGGGTTGCCCACCCTCCACTGGTCATGTGACAAACAGAACAAATTCTCCACCAGCTATGTGGTAGAGACCAACAGGATCACTGACAAAAGATCTCTGCAACTCCCCAGATTTTACAATAGTGGCAAAAGAGCATACAAAATTTCTATTCACGTAACAAGTCTAAACAAGTGCGGACTATCAGAAATGACCAAGTTTCAAAACAAGGTCTTCAGGATATAACGGGCAAGATTACTTTCACAACTTCACACAGAGTATGAAGGCAAGCAACAAGAACAATCAGATCACCATCTCATCGAAATGGATGAGAAAATTCAGGCAACATGAATCAGAATTGTCCCTTATATAACCCCATCACTCGTCTCACCACGGGTCTAAAATCCACTGGCTAGCTAAGTTCCAAACAAATCCTAGGTATTCAATTAAACCTAGGCTTGGATATCACTCAATCTACTCTAATGCCACTCAATCTGGAGGTGCTTAATTTAATCTTAAACTCTTAATTTCAACCTAGGCTTTTAATTTCAACCTAAGCTCTGATACCACTA